AAAATATGAAAGTAAGATTGGCTGTCAAAGAAAGAAAGAAAGAAAGAAAGAAAGAAAAATATGAAAGTAAGATGGGCTGTCAAAGAAAGAAAGAAAGAAAGAAAAAAAAGAAAGAAAAAGAAAGAAAACATGAAAATAAGATGAACTCTGAAAGAAAGAAAGATGTATATATAACGAAGATTGAAAATACATCTTTAAATACATAAGTAAAGATGTATAGTTAAAGAACTTTCTTTCCTTTCCTTTCTTTTTCATTTGACTTTCTATTTTCTTTGTCGATAATTACTTCATTGTTTCTTTCTCCCTTTCTTTTATTCTGTTTTTCTTTATTGACAATCCTTTTGCTTTCACTCCTTTTTTATTTCATAACGGAAATTCCTTTTCTTCTTACTTTCCTTCTCTTTTTTCTGAGACTTCTTTTCGTCTTTGTTTTTTATTTCTATCTTTATCTTTTCTTTCATTTCTTTGTCTAACATTATTTCTTATGTTGTGCTTTTAAGTTTGTAACTATTTTTAATGGCATTTTCACCTTTTTAATGACATTTTCCAACCTTTTTCATGGCATTTTTTCAACCTTTTTAATGACATTTTCAACTTTTTAATGGCATTTTTCAACAGTTTTAATGACATTTTTCTTCTTTATCATTCTTTCTTTCTTTCTTTCTTTCTTTCTTTCTTTCTTCCCCCATTCATTCCCTCCTTTCTTTATTTTCCTTTCCTCTTTCTTCTCTTACTAGTTTCCTTCCTAATTGTAATTCCTTTTTCTTCCTTCTTACATTCATTTTTTCCTTCCTATCTACCTGGCTTCTTTCCTTATTTTCTTTTCGTCCCTTCTTTTTTTTTCCTTCCTTCCTTCAGTCTTTTCTTCCTTCAATCTTTCTTTCCTTCCTTTATTCGTTCGTTCATTCCTTTCCTTCCTTCTTCGTTCTTTCCCTTCTATCGAAAGGATAGGAGGGAAGGAAAGCTTCCCTCCTTCCTTCCTTCATTCATTCCTTCTTTCTTTCCTTCGTTTGACCCTTCCTTCCTATTCTTTGTTTCGAAGACTCTCTTCCGGTCTTGATATCTGTGTTCCTCCCCTCCTTATTCTTTTCTCAGCCTTCCTTATCATTCTCTTCCTTCCTTTTTCCCGATTTTCTTTCTCGGGTACAAGTTCTTTCCACAAACGTTATAATGAACATGTCATTGTCTGACACGATCGGTAACAAAAATGGCAACTGAGGTACTCTGGCCGCAAACACTCATAAATTCTCGCCAGTCTCCGGCACTTCGCCTGTAATTATTAATCTAAGTGTTGCTTTATTTAGATTTTCTATAAATAAAACAATCGTCAATATCGTTGTCCGGATGAAAGTCTTGTAGAAAGCAAACTTGGTTAGGGTCGCAGGGGCCGAATGCGAGGAAGGTTTTTGTCTAAATATTTTAGATTAAAAAAAGGAATATACATTAATTTTTTTTTCATTTCTTTTTATCCACTTGATATCATCTTTTTCAGCTTTAATCTTTGCCTTCCTTTCTTTCTATTTTATTTCTGCTTTTTTCTTTCCGTCACCCTTTCCAAATTTTACTTTTTAATCTTTGCGCCTTTCTTTCTTTCTTTCTTTCTTTCTTTCTTTCTTTCTTTCTTTTAATCCCTTCTCTTTGTTTTCATTTCTCTACTGTCTTTCATGTTTGCGTTCTTTCCGTTTCCTTCTCTACTTATCAATTTTCTGGCTTTTTCTTATTAGGCATTTCTTTGCCCAGCCATTTTCCTCGTTCTTCTCTGTATTTCTCTTTCTCTTTCTCTTCCGTTTTTAATTCATTCCTTCATTTCTTTTCATTTCCTTCATTCTTTCATTAATTTCCTCTTTATTAAGGCCGTCCTTGCTTTCTTTCTACCCTCTGTGAATTTATGTACTCTTTGTATCCTTCCTTCCTTCCGTATTTCCTTCCTCCCATTTCTCTTTATTTTCTTCATTCTGTCATTCATTTTATTTTTATTTACACCGTCCTCCCTTCCTGCCCTCTGTACCTTTATTTACTCTTTCCTTCCTTCCTTCCTTCCTTCCTTCCTTCCTTCCTTCCATTTCTCTTTATTTCATTCATTCTCTCATTCAATTCTTTTTATTTACACCGTCCTTTCTTCCTGCCCTCTGTAACTTTATTAACTCTTTCTATCCTTTTTCCTTCTTCCCTTCCTTTCTCCCTCCCTGCCTCCCTTCCATCCTTCCTTCATTCTTTCCTTCCTTTCTCCCTCCCTGCCTCCCTTCCATCCTTCCTTCCTTCCTTCCTTCCTTCCTTCCTTCCTTCCTTCCTTCCTTCCTTTCTCCCTCCCTGCCTCCCTTCCATCCTTCCTTCCTTCCTTCCTTCCTTCTTCCCTTCCTTCCTTCTTCCCTTCCTTTCTCCCTCCCTGCCTCCCTTCCTTCCTTCCTTCCTTTCTCCCTCCCTGCCTCCCTTCCATCCTTCCTTCCTTCCATCCTTCCTTCCTTCCTTCTTCTTCCTTCCTTTCTCCCTCCCTGCCTCCCTTCCATCCTTCCTTCCTTCCTTCCTTCCTTCTTCCCCTTCCTTTCCCCTCCCTTTCTCCCTTCCATCCTTCCTTCCTTCCTTCCTTCCTTCCTTCCTTCCTTCCTTTCTCCCTCCCTTTTCCTTCCATCCTTCCTTCCTTCCTTCCTTCCTTCCTTCCTTCCTCCCCTCCCTGCCTCCTTCCATCCTTTCCTTCCTTCCTTCCTTCCTTCCTTCCCTCCTTCCTTCCTTCCTTCCTTCCTTCCTTTCTTCTTCCTTCCTTTCTTCCTCCCCTGCCTCCTTCCATCCTTCCTTCCTTCTTTCCTTCCTTTCTTTCTCCTCCCTGCCTCCCTTCCATCCTTCCTTCCTTCCTTCCTTCCTTCCTTCCTTCCTTTCTCCCTCCCTTCCTCCCTTCCATCCTTCCTTCCTTCCTTCCTTCTTTCTTTCTTTCCCCCTCCCTTCTCCCTCCATCCTTCCTTCCTTCCTTCCTTCCTTCCTTCCTTCCTTCCTTCTTTCCTTCCTTTCTCCCTCCCTGCCTCCTTCCATCCTTCCCTTCCTTCCTTCTTCCCTTTCTTTCTCCCTCCCTGCTTCCCTTCCTTCCTTCCTTCCTTCCTTCCTTCCTTCCTTCCTTCCCCTTCCTTCCTTCCTTTCTCCCTCCCTGCCTCCCTTCCATCCTTCCTTCCTTCCTTCCTTCCTTCCTTCCTTCCTTCCTTCCTTCCTTCTTCCCTTCCTTTCTCCCTCCCTGCCTCCCTTCCATCCTTCCTTCCTTCCTTCCTTCCTTCTTTCCTTCCTTTCTCCCTCCCTGCCTCCCTTCCATCCTTCCTTCCTTCCTTCCTTCCTTCCTTCTTTCCTTCCTTTCTCCCTCCCTGCCTCCCTTCCTTCCTTCCTTCCTTCCTTCCTTCCTTCCTTCTTTCCTTCCTTTCCCCTCCCTTCCTCCCCTTCCATCCTTCCTTCCTTCCTTCCTTCCTTCCTTCCTTCCTTCTTTCTTTCCTTCCTTTCTCCCTCCCTGCCTCCCTTCCTTCCTTCCTTCCTTCCTTCCTTCCTTCCTTTTCTCTTTATTTCATTCACTCTCTCATTCATTTCATTCTATTTACACCGTCCATCCTTCTTCCTCTCTCTACTTTTATTTACTTTTTTATCCTTTCTTCCTTCAATTTCTCTTTATTTCCTTTATTCTTTCATTCATTTCCTCTTTAGTTCCATCTTTTCTCGATTCCTTCCTTTCCTTCCCGTTCAGCGTAATGATTCCTTCATTTCTCGCCCGCCTCCGAAACCTAAATAATCTTTATACTATTTGAGTTTTTGATTAGCTTACGTTGCTAAAATATTTACCGATCAAACGATTCATTCGAATTTATGGTCATTCCTAGAATTGTCTGTTATTCTTTGACGGTTCAGCCACGAGTACCATTGATTCGCTTGGCAGACTATTTGGTTAAACGGACTGGCCGCTCTGTTGTTGATCGATCAGGGGAGCCAGGAGCAATTTCTCTTCTAAAGGAGCGACTGAACGACAAAAAAGCAAAAAAAAAAAAAAAAAAAAAAAGGCGCCTATTTTTCTCACACCGTTCTTTCCCCGACTCCATCAACACGAATTCCCTGTTACGTAATCGATAAACGGGATTATCAAAATCCGAACATGGATTATCTAAAATGGTTTACGAAGAACAAGAAGAAATGGAAACGTTGCTTAAAACGGGGAATTTCAGAGCTGACATTGAAGATGGAATTTGATATGGAAAAATAAACAGTACCCATGAAGGATAAACGACTACTTGTCACGATGTTTGATTTGATTGTTTTCTTTTTTTACGGTTTATCAACCCCTTACAGGTTATTTAAAGCCAGAAAATATTTTTAGATTGTCAGAATTTTTCTTTGAGATTGTAATGGTTTAGTGATACAAATTCTAACTAAAGGTGGATTAATACTTATCCCTATGGTATTTGTGCGTAAGTGAATATAACGAACCCAACTGGAATTCGAACTCGGTTCTCCCATTAACAATACTGAACCATTATCCATTCAGTTAGTTATGTGCCATATGAGATACACGCTTAGGCGATCATGTATCTTTCGATACTTGACTGACGAGGAAGTTTTTTTTCAGCAGTTGGTTGCCATTTCTTTCTGCGGTAGACCAGTTGCCATCCAAGGCTACAGAACCCGATCTGTCCTACTGTTTACCCATAGCTGGAGAGAGGAGAAGAGGATTCATACCTTTCCCAAGGGTATTAGCACGTTAAGTGAATGTAATGTATTCAAATAGAATTCGAACTCGGTTCTCTCCCACTCCATCAACTCGGCTCCCCCATTCCTCAATCCGAGACCCTATCCATTACTCCACCGTACACCACCAGAAAGAAAGAAAGAAAGAAAGAAAGAAAGAAAGAACAAAAACAAACTAGCTTACAGTATTTGATCTTCCCAAGCAGTCACCCATCTAAGTACTAACCAGTTCCGACGTTGCTTAGCTTCTGTAATCGTACGGAAACCGGTGTTTCAATATGATGTGGTCGTAAGCTTTTGTGACGATGAGAATATCAGATAACAAAATAATGAAGTAGTCATTTACACTATTAAAATTCTTCGGACTGTTTTCCTCATCTTTTTTGCCATATTCACGACATTTCGACCGTTGTACGCCGCATTCTTCAGGTGATTGGAATTTTGAACTGAACCCTTTATTTCGTCCACCAGGGTAGATTGTTCTAGTTCCACGTGCCATGCTTCTTCCTGGTGTCTCAGTTATCTCTCTTTAACAGAATTCTCCAATTTTTTTCACCACTGCAGTAGCTAGGTATTGAACTCACAACTCTTTGGGTAATTTTGATCTTGGAGTGTTGAGTCTCACCTCAAAAATAGTTCTATAGGAATAAAGTGTCGCTGCCGACACTTGAGTTTGAACATAGGTCGCCAGTGAGCAAACACAGTCGATCCCATTATTGGATTAAGTGGATCACATGACCATAGAGGAAACGCATATATTGGAAGTCGCGTGACGTCTAGATTGATAGTTATTTCTAGTCTATCCTCTATCATTCTACGTATGTGAATTTCTAGTCTATCCTTTATACTGTACAGCCCACTATTCTCTACTCTATTCTCTATAGTATTACTCTATTCGGATCACTATACAGGTTACTATTCGATAGAATTATCGAGCAAGTACTATCAGTGCGAGTGCTATTCGAAGGCGTTTGACACCAGCATTGTTCAACAGCGTTACTATCGTTGTATCTGCGATTACAAAGTCTCTACTACAACGAGCATTGCGAAAGTGACAACGAGTATTTGTTGGCATTAAAAAAGTGACAACGAGTGTTCGTTGACATTTCAAAATGGTAACGAGTGTTTGTTGGCATTACAAAAGTGGTAACGAGTGTTTGTTGACATCACAAAAGAAATGCAGACAGATAATCAAGTAGTCTTTTATAATTTATATATATCAATATCTTGAAATGCGTGAATCCAGCCGGTGGAAATAAAGGCAAAAATTAGAGAATAACAAACATATTAGAAACAAAACAAAACAGTGAATTTTAAACCGGGTATTTTATAAGTATATATAATGTATACAAACATAAAAAAAACAAAGAAGGAGAAATAGCAAAGAACAAAAATTCTCGGTCGAAAAATATAACGACACAAATTAACAAAAATGGCTAACTCTTTATGGGCCCTCGCTCTTCAGAGCCAATCGAGGACAAAACATATGCACAATAACTAAAATTGGGAAATAAAATGATTACTATCATCTTTTTTTGCCCGAGATTTGGTCACAGCAATCTGTACAGCACATTCGGATTACCATCGAAGTGTGTTTAAGACTATTCATATTAAATCTAAGCAGCCTTTCCTGTGTAAGCAGAAGGAATGGCTGATGGGTCTTAATATAATCTCTCTGTAACTTATACTATTGATAGCTTGGTAGTACATTTTTCTTTCTCTTCGTTATTGGTCGTTGTGAAAATATTTGTTTTATCTTCGATTGGTACTGAAGATCCATCACGTTGTGTGTTTGTTTTTCTCATCTATGCTTTTTGATGTGGGGCCAAAGTTGAGACCACAGAAGTAAAACACGGAACACGGATTAGAAGTAAGAAAGATATATTAACAGCAGGTTACAGAGATAGTGTAAGCAGAGCTTACTATATGTTCGTGTCCAACACTGGCAGTCGTACTAGACTGTCACTGTCACTCTCTATCTCTCGACTAGAGTGTTGTGTCGCATACTTAATATAGACCCGGAAGAGTCTATTGTGTAGGTAGTTCCGGTCTCACAATACTTTTCCTACGATTTCTTTTATATATTACTTTTTTTATATAATTATTTAAAATTACGATTTGAAAGTCCAAATAACTTCCACCCGCGCGCCTACGCCAGATTATTTGAGCCAGTAGACATATTTGTGTAATAACAGTAGTGAAATACACAGTACCCCTAAGACAGCGTTAAGTGATTAAAGTCCTGACCTTTTTATCGAATCCGTTCACACTGACAAGCTACCATTTTCTTTTGGGGAAAATGTCCACTGGGCAAAGGAAGGAAAGATGGAAATATATGAATATATCTCGAAGAAGAAACTATAAAACATTTGCTTGATCACAAATTTCCTATTGAAGAGGGATGTCGGAATTTTATTGCCAAACCTACTTCGGCATGCCTGCACCGGAAAGGAGCAAATATATAAAGTGGATCCAAGATTTAACAGAAGCTTTCTTCGTAAAGATATATCCTTTTCATATTTTGACGAAGAATAAAAAAAAAGCCTAGTGATGCGAAATATTGCTCGGACGCATTCTGTAACTTATGTTATTAATGTTTCAAAAACCGTATCATCATCAGATTCACGGTTTCGTTGAGGGCGTTCTCCATATAGCAGCAGTTGTATATTACACCATTCTCTGCAAAGGAAAGTCATAATTTTACTGCTGTATAAAAAACGTCATGAAAAAAAAATGTCGTTTCTTCTCACGTAAAAGAAATTTAATGTTCTCCCAGGTATAAAATATCAGTTCTATATATAGGTGTATGTGCATAGGTGTGTATATTCGGCAGCAGTTGGGAAATTGGAGGTTTTAATCAGCGGGAAACCACCTCTTAACTGCTGTTGTTCCTAGCTCCAACCTGACCCGGGGTGGTAGCACCTGTTAGGGTCTAAGCTATGGGCAAATAATGAATCCCCCAAACAAAAATCAAAACACTATGAAAGTATAAAAATGCATTTTTATAGTAAAATTACCAGCAATACATTTTTATCTAAAAAACGTACAAACAATAGCCATTTATATTAAAATTATCAACAATATATCAATCAACATGAAGGAACTCTTTTATAATATTAATCCATATAATATCCTACAATTCTTAAATGCTTAAATCAAACTGTATTCCAAAATATGACTTCAAAAAACAACAAAAATGCCGCCAGTAATTATGTCGACACAAACATGTATATGCATAAAAGCTGAGTATCATCTACCATGTGAAAACAGAATAACATATATTTTTATTAAAAGAATAACATAACATATTTTTATTATTTTAAATCCCCCAATAAAAATTAAAATTCGTCATTAAATGACCCATGAGGAGTTGATATGCCATTAAAAACAAACCAAATAAAAATGGTTTATATATTGTACACTTTGTTTTATCATCATGTTCACACGCACACACACACGCGCGTATATATATATATATATATATATATATATATATATATATATATATATATATATATAAAATCAAAATATCGTTAGTGATGCTATAATCGTGGCCGAGTGGTTAGAACGTTCACTTTCCGACCATGGTTAATTTGTCAGGAAGGTGGATTCTTGATGTTATCTGTCTGGAAAGTGTCTGACCCAACACTTGTGAGTGAAATTGGGTAGACGGAACCGTCAGCAGTTCTATTAGCAGGAATTTACAAGTCATCGTGACCGAGGGTTTGAGTGTGCTAGCCTTATCCAGTCTGTTGATCACGCTAGATAATGCGCTCTCTCCCAGAAACTGTAACTAAGGTATGCTCAGCATAGTTCATCACTCTTCACATCACAAATATTAACATAAAATAAATATTAGAAGATAATGCTAAATACTATACACTAAAGAAATACTGAAAATATTTGAAGCTATTATTATACAAAAGAAAACTCCATTAAATATCTTTCATCAGAGAATTAGACCAAAAATAGAGCATTGTGGTCGCGTTACAAAACACTGGAACAAGAAATGTAATATTTATGACCAAAGAGAACCATACAAATAGAAAAGGACATATAGCTACAGTATAGTTGCGTTACAAAACACTGGAACAAAAAATATAATATTTATGACTAAAGCAAGCATTACAAATAGAAAAAGGGCGTATACCTACAGTGTGATTACGTTACAAAACACTGGAACAAAAAAATGTAATATATATGACCAAAGCGAGCAATACAAATAGAAAAGGACGTATACGTATGCTTCATATACTATGAAAAAGCATTTGAGAAGGTACGATCTATTTGAACTGCTAAGAAAACTTTTCTTTTTTAGAATGTCCATAGAACAATCCCGGGTATAATAGCAGAGAAAAAAACTGCTTGCATACAGATAATGAATTCAGTAAGTACGCAAAAATAGAAAAAAGTTGTAGAACAATTATGTGTCTTCTCGCGGGATTTAGTTATCCTACAGCCTGTCTGAAGTTATTATGCAACTCAAACCTCAATAACTCAAAAAGTTATGAACTAATATTTGTCAAATTTAAAATCGTCCATTTCCACCTTGAGTAAAATATTTAAATAACTTTTCTACCATTTGTAATTATTATTATTAAGATATTTACAATTTACGAAAATGGACTGACTGAAGTTAATATGCAGATTAAACTAATATTAGCTTAAAATCTCTGAAATATAAAAAAAAGTATTTTTTTTTCTTTTTGTCCATAATATATATTGAAACGTGGGTAAAGGGAAGGATCTAACAACTGCTGCAAAACAAAAAATAACAATGTTATTGAGTGAGGGAATGTCCACATTGGAGATATCAAAGGAGCTATTCTGAGATCATCGAAGGCTGTTGAATATGAGTAAGTTGAGAACTCGAAGCAAATAGAGGCTTCAAATCCATCCTTTTCAAAGATCTAAGCTCTACTCAAAAGTGGTTGTTTGTAAAAAAATGACCGAGAAAACCCTTTCTTATTAAAGCAAATATTTTAAATATTTTAAATTGGACTAAGAACTACATGTAAATTGAGTTTTCTAAAGTAATTTTCATGGACGAATCTCAAGTAACATGCGATGGACCTGATGGATGGGTCAAAGGATGGATTTTCTCCAATTCAGACGTGCCTGTGGCTAAAAGAAGTCAACAAGGAGGCAGTAGTGTTATGATATAGACTGGAATTGTCGGCCAAACCATTATTGGAGAATTCAAAATCGATGAAGCAGTTAAACTGAACAACGCTAACTATTGCGATTTTATGAACAAGACTTTCTTTGCATGATACAAGTCCCAATTTCCCAG